GAGAAAGGTAAAAGTATGTAATAGGGCTGAACAAAACCCAAATTACAAAACTAGTAACAACAAAATCCCCTATCTTCTTAACTTATAAAATACAGAGGTTACTTAAAAAAAAAGAAGCTGATTACGTTCTACTCGTCAAGCATCTAGTCATGCATCTAGTCGTGCATCTAGTCATGCATCTAGTCGTGCATCTAGTCATGCATCTAGTCGTGCATCTAGTCATGCATCTAGTCGTGCATCTAGTCATGCATCTAGTCGTGCATCTAGTCGTGCATCTAGTCGTGCATCTAGTCGTGCATCTAGTCGTGCATCTAGTCATGCATCTAGTCGTGCATCTAGTCATGCATCTAGTCATGCATCTAGTCATGCATCTAGTTGTGCATCTAGTCATGCATCTAGTCATGCATCTAGTCGTGCATTTAGTCATGCATCTAGTCATGCATCTAGTTGTGCATCTAGTCATGCATCTAGTCATGCATCTAGTCGTGCATCTAGTCGTGCACCTAGTCATGCATCTAGTCGTGCATCTAGTCATGCATCTAGTTGTGCATCTAGTCGTGCATCTAGTTGTGCATCTAGTCATGCATCTAGTTGTGCATCTAGTCATGCATCTAGTTGTGCATCTAGTCGTGCATCTAGTCGTGCATCTAGTCGTGCATGTTAACTTAAATTACTCAAATTCTTAGATACCCCGCATATGCAAATCGTGACTTGCTGTAAACTTCGGTACATAAAGTTGTATTTCATCTGACGTCTGTTCCGTTAGATTGTCGTCTGAGCTGAACCGAAGGCTCTTCGAGCTCAAAGTTTGAAAAGAAAAAAACCTGTTAGGTCGTCCAGCCGTAACAGTAAAAAAAGAAAAACAAACCTGTGGGAACACAGTTCTGTTTGAGAGCGACCCGAGTCAATGTCTATATAAAGCATTGCTATATCCAATGTCTTCGGCCTCCGACACATGGCCGAAGGCCTAGGAGCACTGGGAGCCTCCGTCATCTTCCTTCTTTGTACCAAGCTAACCGTGGGGGACTCGCCATTTATGGGACGGTCCTTTGAGGAACGGCGCATGGATGTGTGACAATTTTGTGAGGACTTTTTTACAACCCCGCCCGTGCAAGGGGTGGACTCTCGTCTACCCGTGGGCATCCCCACGGGAGTTATGTTTTGCCATTCATTTTGCCTAGCTATCTCCTCAAATAGCCGTTTCCACCCGGGTGCCACGATGAGGCAGAACAGCGAACCCGGGGACGTCTGTTCCTGGAGACATCATCGTGCTCCAATTGTTGTTCCAACACGTGATACATACAACTACAACGGTTAACGAGCAGGGTGTCACGTGGCCAGCACAACGACCTACCCCCTTTACTTTCCCCAACATAAGTCAGGTACCCATTAGAGTTGGGTGGACTCGGGGGCGACAGGGGCGTTCAGAAATTACAGCGTTCATCGAGATTTGAACGCTGGAGCTCAGGTTCGCAAGCCAAGCAATAGGCCACTCAGCCACTGTGCCCCTTGTAATGCACTATTATACAACAATTCTTGATTTGAATAATAAAAATAATCTTTCTATTATCCTAGCACCTAACACACTTGTTCATTTACAGTTCATTTTAATTGTGCTATGTCGTTTGGTGTTCTACTGTTTATAAATGTAAATCTATGTAAAGAATGTTTCTTCAACTCTCAACACAACAACATCTTTAGCCAGCGCCTAGAGACTAGTTAGTGATTTTAAGCTATATAAATGACTATATTTACATTAGCTGTAAGATACAATCATTCAACTTATTTATTCAAAATACCAGAATTGTATTTGCATTCTTATAAACGAAATAAAGGACAACAATAAAATTCACTACATTATACAAGGCTTGTATAATGTGCGAATATAAATGGGAAGGGCATTATTTTACGTTGATAAGCAGACCCTGCTGCGACCTATATATTTTGCCAGCTCGGACATAAGCATTGTCCGCCGGTGGTTGATTTAGATTATCTTTTCGCCGTCTGCGTCTTCCTATGCAGTGGATTTTATTCTAGGCTCAAAATTTGTATCTCGAGGTCTTTGATCTTTAGCTGTCTCGTTCCAAATGCCAGGTGCTCTCTTCTATGTTAGTTAGGGCAAGTTGGCCGTCTGAGCTGGTCTTTGCGCTCTATCTTGGACACGGTGGAAAGACCGCACTTAAAACAGCGTTGTTCTGCGAAAGCCGGTAATGGCAGTATAGAGGGACTTCTTATAGTCCGACAGTTACGCTAATGTGAAGTCAATGAACAGAAGAATGAATTTTGTTTTTTGTATTCTTCTTTCTTTCTACTTTTTAAATGCCCACAGTGTCTTCAAGAAACAATAAACTCATTCAAGAGACGTTTTTGTAGGCTTTTTTTAGTTGTATATCTAGCACATTTTTTTTTGCTTTTATCCTCCATTTTAAGGCATCTTTACTCACCTCTCCCCGTCAATGATTACAAGGGTTGGGGGCGGGGTAATGATTGTTATGACAAGAATTTTTATGTTATAGAACTATCTAGATCGCGTCAATATTACTATCAGTTGCATTTCATCTGTCCCTTGACATTCGTCGTAGGGGTGCTGTGGCAGTTTGGGTAACCAAATCCCTCCACTCGTTCCGGTCAGCAACTGTTGTTAGCAGGATATCAAGAGAGGCTGGTCCATTCATTTACTTTGTCCTGCCAGCTTTTCTTTGGACGACCTGATCTTCGTGCTCCCTCCACAGCAAAATAATCATAAATAGCCCTGGTTTAAACAGAGACCAATCCTTACTAAAAAGCCTCAACACTGACCTGCGACGTAGCAGCCTGTGGGCAGTGGAGACCAATGCCTCCTTGCAACGTCGCGTAGAACTGTTACGTGGCAACGAGCTATTGGTCTCCAGGCCTACAGGCTGTGACGAAGCAGGTCAGTGTTCAGGCCTTTTATCCACTGATCATAGAAACAAATGGCCTTTAGACCATCTGTCCCATACATTGCAAGGGCTATATGAAGAGATATGGAATTCGGACTGACATCACGATCAGGGCCGGTCATAACAATTGCGGGACCCTATGCGAAATGGATTGCGTGGGGGCCCAGTCAGGGTAGGGATAAAAATACTAAGTAAAACATAAGATTTACTATTACAAAATAAATTCGTCTTTGTATTACATTTTTATTAAATAAAAGCTGACAATATCTTTTCTTTCTTTTATCGTGCGTTTACCAAATTGAATGACAACCCAAAATGACAATTTTGTTTTTTAAGAACGTTTTATGAGTTTTCAGGAAATTTTAATAACTTCAGGAGATTTCCAGGACGTTTTTGTATATCTTGCAATTTTAGGAGATTTTCAGGAGCTTCTGAAAAATCAGAAGGAGGCGGGAAATCTTATAATATAGGCTTATAAGTTGTAACGGTTTAATTTAATAATTTACACTATAGCCAGGGACTATGAAAATGCGGGGCCCCTGCGGCTGCTTAGTTTGCTGTGGCATAAGGCCGCCCTTGTCACGATGTTCCCAAGTTCGAAGCCTTCCTGTTGCCATTCGCTAACGTCCTTTGTAAGGTTTAGGATAAGATAGATCAAGAGAAGATCGTCTCTCGAGACGTAAAATGCCACATATATCAATCTTCATTTCTGAAATATTGTTTGAAACTTGTAAGTTTACAATCAGCGTTAGCTGTCTAGTTTTGTTTACATAAACATTTCCTTTTTTGTACAAGACTGTAATTGTGTGTCATTGGGTTATGCTTGCCAACGTTTTAAGTTAATGATCAATTTTATGTTATGATTTATAAATGTATACAAATCCCGTATTGAGACTGCACTTTAAAGTAACGTTGGGCCTGTATATCCCGCAAATATATTTAAGAGTTATATTTTTCAAATTCCTAACATAAAATTAAATTACAGGATGACGGTCTATGATCTCGGTATTAACCAGTGGAGCGTGACCCATTCCGACGACAAGCCGAAATACAATAAATGTCAAAAAAGGAAGAGGGGGGGGGGGCAATGAACGAAAAAAAAAAAGGGGGGGGGGGGTGTCCATATGAAAGTCTGTATACTTCATTATGCTCGGAGCAAGGTGTCCAGGTCTTAACTGTAACCCACAGCCCAGCAGCTATTTCTTCCCTAGCAGTGTTCCTGTGTCTTGACAATTAGAAAGTTTGATGTGTTCCTGTCAGCCCTAATGTAAGCCAGGCGACAGACAGAGACACGATTTCTATTTTCGGAAATTAGATGAAAAATGGGGAAAAAAATGGCTGAGAAATGAGGGGTGGGTGAGAAGTGGCAAACTATGATAAAACAGAAGGAAGAGGACCAGAAAGAAAAAAAAGAATATTTATTTAGAGGTTATGAATAGAAGCGTAATGACGTCATCAATAATAATAGCTACGGAAATAATATCAAATGTATTTAAACGAGCAACAGGGCGTTCCGTCTTTGTAAAGCTGATTGCATATTGTAACAGCCTTTACTTTGCTGTTATAATAAATGATTCAGAATGAATAATAGATTTTAAAAAGTAAACATTTTTTTACCACCACCACCCCCATTCCTCCTAGTCCCTCATAACATTATTTTTTTTAATTGATTCTGGTGTTGTCAGGTTAAAGGAATAATTGTGCAAAATTTCAGCTTGATCCAAAATCGGCTGTGTGAGAAATCGCGTGTACAAACGTTTTACCAGACACAGTCAGTTACAATAAGCTTTGTAAAAATGAGTTTAAAAAAAAGTAATTTAACAATGTAAACTGAAAATACTACGGTATTCCTTTGTTTTGCTAACATTTTTGCACAGACGTAAACTAAATCAACAGACACTTCATCTGTCAGCATTTAATATTTTTACCTATACAAATAGTTTCCCTTTACGTCGACTTCTTTGTTGATCACCTAACCTCCCCCATCTTACCTATAGCCCTCCCCCCCCCCCCTTTTTTTTTTCTTTTAGAGGATTAAGGCGCAGGAAGTTACTGACACAATTTAAAACACAAGAGAAGAAAAAAAAAAAACCCAGTAAAAGACCAAAATAACAGGTAGATCAGTGTAAAAACGCCAGGTCCCTCTTGTTCGTAGGCCCGTTTCCACCTGCAACAACTGACGGACTGGGAGAAGCAGACGTGGCATTCATTAGCAGACGGTGTAACAAAAAACATTTTCAGGGAATTATTTTTGGTTAATTCCTATTTTTTTTACCTACTTGCCTTCGTTGGTGCATATTGTTCTTTTGTTGGTGCATATTGTTCCATTGTCGGTGCATATTGTTCCATTGTCGGTGCATATTGTTCCATTGTCGGTGCATATTCGTTACTGTGATAATGTTCTTATCAGCGGTGCTTGGAGTCTGTGTCGTGGCGATGATGGCTGTCACCGTCTCCTCCCAGGCAGCGGCGGATCCTACGAGCCACTGTAACTACCTGGTCAATTCCAAGTCGCAATACCAGGAGAATGCGGCGCCCTTTAAACTCTATACTCGCTCTAGGCAGCCTCGAATTACAAGTGGGGAGCCGATAGAAGGTCAGTTCTAGATTGGGCAGTTAGTTGACCATTATGTGGTGATCTGACGTTTGTGTTTGCCCTATTTCGATAAAAATATTAACTCCAGCCTGTTTTTATTAAACTTGCTTAAATTGAACATTCGATTATGAAAACTTTTTGTGTTAGAAGTATCGACTGCACTCTTAAAGTTGGAACATAAATTTGGCAAATTAAATATTTATCAATTCCTTTTGGTCGTCTAGTAAATCCGAACTAACAAAGCTTGGTTCTATCACTTGGTGAATTCATTATTAGCTTCTTGGTTAATTGTATTCAAAAATAGATGTAGTACCAGTTTTTTTTTTTTTTTTTTTTTCTCTTTGGAAAAAAAAACAGCTAGGGGGGTGTTTAGTTCCTGCCTCTTTTTCATATTTTTGTTTACATTGAATAATTAGACTTTTAGCCCAATTATGTTTCCTCTTTTAATTTGGGAACATAACTTTGACTGAATACAGAAGTGAGTAACGAATATATGGATAACGCTATCTTGTTGCTCTTATATATATATATATACTAGCCGGGCATTATAACGCTAATTTCAAAGATCTAGAAGGCTCTAATACCCCATCACAAAGTTTGTTTTTCTAAGGTAAAATCTAGTCATAAAAATGTTTGGATATATTGAACACTTTTAGTAATCTCTCAACGAGTAAAGAAGAATGTTGGATTATTTCTAAATTTAGATCTACTTTAAAAATGTAATACATTAGACTTATATACGTTTTCCAACTCATGATAAAAGGTTAAATAAGACTGACCTTAATGAGAAAGATGACTTGACCCATATCTGATAAACTGGGGAAAATTAATTCAAAAGGATATTTCATGCGGTGAATGGCCTTGTTCGCATCAGTGAGGCAAAATATATGGGTCGCCACGGGGTCTGCGTTGACACGTGAAATACTGCACTCATCTTTAATCTTTGGGCCCTGAGACAATGCCTTTAAATAGAACAACACAAAACTGTTGGATGGAGAGTTTAAACTTAGACTGAGATCTAATCTAAGTCAAATAAAATTGTCTACGCTTAATTTAATTGATTTTTTTTTCTGGAGATCCACTATCTCAAATACAGTAAAGAAGAACAGTATTACAAAATTGTGTCCGAAATATAAACATCTCTCAAGCCTTAGGAGCATAATAATGATAACTGCATCGTTAAAAGTGGAGGATATTTTTGGCTTTGTTTTATAAATATCCGATGTTCCTATGTTCCTTAAAAAAAAAAGGCTACTACGTCCTCGCCCAAACTTTGCAGGGAGGGTAGGGATGGCAGAGGGGAGGGTTAGAGCAATTGTAACGATAGATTGAAGCCAGAGATATTACAGACGTTCATTCAAAACAGAGCTATCGTGGTAGCCGAATGGTAAAGCGCTTGGCTTCCAAACCCATCGGTTGTCATTGTCTTTGACTTAAACGTTGCCTGGATTAAAACTCTGGTTTGACTTTTAGAATTGTGTTTGAAATCACCTTACAATTCACTCATTCGACTCCAATGTTTCTTTGTACTTTGAATCTGCTTTCAGCGGGTATTCCCGCAATGTTTCTTTGTATTCAGCAAAGAGCTGAATAAATAAATAGACGCGTTCATGAACTTTTTGCGCACCGTGAGCTGGACTGGAATAGAAGAACTTGAAATAAATAGAAATTAAAAACAAAATAGAATAAAAAATTTAAATGGTGAAGGCGCTTCACAAAGGAGGAACTAATTTTTAGCGGCCCCCGAAAGGGGAAAAGACGCTATTAGTTTTGTACGAAATGTCTGTCCGTCTTCCGTCTGTCCGTCCGTCCCGTTTAAATCTAAACTACAAAAGATATTGAAAATCCGACATCACAGTATTTTAGACCATTAAAAGTTCTGATACAACGGCTACTTTTTTTTTTCTGAAAGCGAGAAATCTAATTTTTAAAATCAGTTATGCAAGCAGTTTTCTAAAGAGAAAAAGCTAATTAGAATGCATTATAAGCTAGACCTAATTTAAAACGAATAGTAATATTTTTAATTTCATTTTCAGCATCATAGTTTGTTATGTGATGGCTTTTTTCTCCGAGAATTCAATTTATGAGTTTAATATTATTATATTTTAAAGGTTAATCAATTTTCAATTGTTTATGATTTAAAACTTGTGAATTATTAGAACTTACAAATAAAAACCTGTAAAAAAAAAAGCCCACAAAAGAGGCAAGATGGCCCATAAAAGAGGCACATGAAGCCCAAAAAAGAGGCCTAAGGTACAAGGATTCCTATGATGATAAAGTTAAAATTAAATCGCGCAAATTCTGAGGTTTCCTTTAAAAAAAATAAGAGATTGAGCCTTATCAAAACAATTAGATCAATTATAAGACATCGGTTAGGCCAGAGGAGGCGCGGTGGCTGAGCGGTAAAGCGCTTTCTTCCGAACCGGGGGTCCCTGGTTCGAATTCTGGTGAAGACTGGGATTTTCAACTTTGGAATCTTTGGGCGCCTCTGAGTCCACTCAGCTCTAATTACTACCTGACATTAGTTGGGGAAAAGTAAAGGCGGTTGGTCGTTGTGCTGGCTACATGACACCCTCGTTAACCAAAGGCCACAAAGACAGACGAACTTTACATAATCTGCCCTATAGACCACAAGGTCTTTAAGGGGAACTAGTTAGGCCAGGTTCACATCTAACTTTACATTCACTTTCACCTATCCTTTGATCTGCTGGACCGTTGGGGCACTACACAAGATCTGTTAACCTTCTTTCTCCATTCTTATCTCTCATTTGTATTTGATATAATTTCATTCGGATGTTCTTTCTGAAAATATTGAAGCCTGCCTGGGTGGACCACTTCGGGGGCCGATTTTGAGTTTATGTTTCCACACAAACTATCTTTTGTAACCTTGTTTAAAGTCTTTTTTTTCTGTTACTTGTTTCTGTTTTATTGTGAAAAACAATATAGTGTCATGTCCATTTATCAAATATTACTCCAAATCTCTTCTTATCTACTTCTTTATATGGAGGATGCAGCATTTAAAATACAACCAACAACGAGCTTTGTGCTAATGACTTGGCAAAGCTTAAGTCATAGGTTAACATGCATGACTAGATGCATCTTTTTTTTTATTAACATCTGTATTATATAAGATAAGATAAGATTTGAGTTTAGAATTCATACAGTTATGACAATCTATCCCCACAATATTGTCAAGTTTCATTGATATTTGAATTTTTTTTTCTTTCCAAATCTCTGTGATTGTAATGATTGTTTATGAAATGAGTCTCTGTGATTGTAATGATTGTTTATGAAATGAGTCTCTGTGATTGTAATGATTGTTTATGAAATAAAACTCTGTGATTGTAATGATTGTTTATGAAATGAATCTCTATGATTGAAATGATTGTTTATGAAATGAATCTCTGTGATTGTAATGTTTGTTTATGAAATGAATCTCTGTGATTGCAATGTTTGTTTATGAAATGAATATCTGTGATTGTAATGATTGTTTATGAAATGAATCTCTGTGATTGTAATGATTGTTTATGAAATAAAACTCTGTGATTGTAATGATTGTTTATGAAATGAATCTCTATGATTGAAATGATTGTTTATGAAATGAATCTCTGTGATTGTAATGTTTGTTTATGAAATGAATCTCTGTGATTGCAATGTTTGTTTATGAAATGAATATCTGTGATTGTAATGATTGTTTATGAAATGAATCTCTGTGATTGTAATGATTGTTTATGAAATGAATCTCTGTGGTTGTAATGTTTGTTTATGAAATGAATCTCTATGATTGAAATGATTGTTTATGAAATGAATCTCTGTGATTGTAATGATTGTTTATGAAATGTTCCCAACGTTTGACAAACTATAACATAACTGTGTGGACGAAATCCTCTAATGGTAATGTTGACACGAAGAGGAAATGGCTTGAGAGGGGAGGTTGGGTGGAGGCGAACGGGGAGGTAACTGAACACGTTCTGAGACACGAACATCCGGGTAATAATAATTTAAGAAACATTATTTTTCTCTCCCCTTGGTCTGGTATGTGCAATATTTTAAACCTTATTATGCAGGCTTATACAGACCAGATTGCAAACTATTGAGACTTCACTAAAATTAGCTAAGTCTTGCACTCGGTGGTGGTGTCCAGTTAGCACTTCTCTATAGTTAGCTTTATATAATCGAAGAACCGTACTTAACACGAATAGCACTACTTTATTAATCCTTTATTAATCACACTATTACTTTTTAATCATATCTTCTGTCGTGTGCTGTAGATTTCTGCTACGGTGTCCTTTGCTTCATTCAAAAGACCGGGGGCAGTTTCCATGTTTAAGGCTCTATGTCGTGCTGAATAAAATATGAAGAGAGAAAGAGCGTGTGTGTAATAGAGAGACAGAGAATGAGTGAAAGAGAGTGGGAAAGAGAGAGAAAGAAATTGAGAATAGAGTGGGAACGAGTGAGAGAAAGAGAGAGTGTTAGAGACAGAATGACAGTGAGGGAGGGGTGAGGCAGTGCAATGAAAAAAAATGAATGAGAGAGGGTAAAGAGCTTGAGAGAGAACACACAGAAAGAGTAGAGGAGGTGGAAGAAAGAGTTAATTCACAAATGAACATAATGCATTATCGTACTCTAGGTGCATTTTAAAATGTACTGAACCTTTTGTCTTCAAAACACTCGGCTTGACTGCTGGTAGGCCAAATATTGGAAGCAAACTCCAGCTGATAATAAATATGCTTAATTATT